TCACCAAGAAGAAAAGAAAGAGGACCCAAATAAACAGAATAAGAAATGAAAGAGGAGAAATAACAACTGAAACTGCAGAAATACAAAAAACTGTAAGAGAATACTTTGAATAATTATATGCCAATAAATTGGACAACCTAGAAGTCAACAAGTTTCTAGATACACGGAGCTCCCAAAACTGAATCAAGAAGAGATAATATGAACAAAACAACTGCTTGAATGTGAATTAGAATGTATAATTAAAAACACTCCCTGCAAACAAAAGTTCAGGATGGGATGGTTACACTGGAGAATTCTACCAAATATACAAAGAAGAACTTATACTGATCCTTCTCAAACTCTTCCAAAAGACTGAAGAAGAGGGAACACTCCAAAGGTCATCCTATGAAGTCACTATTACCCTGATACCAAAACCAGACAAAGACATTACCAAAAAAGAAAATTACAGGTCAATATCTCTGATGAATATAGATGCAGAAATTCTCAACAAATATTAGCAAACTGGATCCAACAATACATAAAAAGGATCATACATCATGATCAAATTGGTTTCACTCAGGAATACAAAGATGGTTCAACACACACCAATCAATGTGCATTTCTTTACACTAGCAATGAAATATCAAAAAAGGAAAGTCAGAAAACAGTCCTTTTAAAAGCTGCATCAAAAAACAAAAACAAAACAAAACTTAGGAATAAACCTGACCAACGAGGTGAAAGTTATATGCTGAGAATTATAAAACACGAATAAAACTGAAGGTAATTCAAAGAAATGGAAAGAAACCCCATGCTCTTGGATTAAAAGAATATTGTTAAAATGACCATACTATCCAAAGCAATATACAGATTTAATATGATCCCTACCAAATTACCCATGACATTTTTCACAGAACTAGAACAAATAATTTTAAAATTTATATAGAACGACACACACACACACACAAGCCCGTCACAATTGCCAAATTAATCCTCAAGAAAAACAACAAAGCTGGAGGCATAACCCGCCGAGACTTCAAACAATACTATGAAGCTACAGTAATTCCAACAGTGTGACACTGGCACAGAAACAGACATATGGATCAACGGAACAGGACACAAGAGCCCAGAAATAAACCCACAGCCCTGTGATGAATTAATCTTTGACAACTGATGCAAGAATACACAATGAAAAAAAGAGAGTCTCTTTAGCAAGTGGTGTTGGGAAACCTGGTAAATCAATGAAATTAGCACACTCCTTACACAAGAAAATACTCAAAATAGCTTAAAGACTTAAATGTAAGACATGACACCATTAAACTCCCAGAGAAGAACACAGACAAAACATTCTCTGACATAAATTTTATCAATATTTTCTTAGGTAGTCTCCCAAGGCAATGGAAATAAAAACAAAAATAAACAAATGGAACCTAATCAAAATTATGAGCTTTTGCACAGCAAAGGAAACCATAAACAAACTGAAAAGACAACCTATGGACTGGAAGAAAATATTTGCAAATAATGCAAACGACAAGAGACTAATTTCCAAAACACAAACATCTCAAACAGCTCAATGACAGAAAAAAAAAAAAAAAACAATAAAAAAATACACAGAAGACTTAAAAATATTTTTCCAAAGACATACAGATGACCAAAAGGCACAGGAAAAGACATTCAACACTAAAATTAGAGAAGTGCACATGGAAACTACAAGGTATCATCTCACACTGGTCAGAATGGCCATCATCAAAAGTCTACAAATAATAAATGCTTGAGAGGGTGTGGAGAATAGGGAACCCTCCTATAAGTTGGTAGAAATGTAAATTGGTACAGCCACTATGGAGAACAGTATGCAAGTTCCTTAAAAAACCAAAAATAGAGTTACTATAACATAGTTACTAAAAACAGAGTTACTATATGACCCAGCAATCCCACTCCTGGGCACATAACCAGAGAAAATCAAAATTCGAAAAGATACATGCACCCCAATATTCTTTGCAGCACTGTTTACAATAGCCAGGATGTGGGAGCAACCTAAATGTCCATCAGCAGAGGAGTGGATAAACAAGATGTGGCATAGGCACACATGCAGAGAATACTACTCAGTCATAAAAAAGGAAATAATGCCATTTGCAACAACATGCAGGTACCTAGAAAATGTCATACTAAGTGAAGACACACAAAGACAAATATTGTATGGTATTGCTTATATGTGGAATATAAGAAAGTGTAGCAAATGGACAGAAATAATAAGAGGTGTAGAAAACAAACTTGTGGTTACCAGGTGTGAGAGGGGAAGGATACATCAGGAGACTGCGGCTGACACAGACACACTACTGTATGTACAGCAGATACTAATAAGGACCCACTGTATAGCACAGGGAACTCAACCTAACACTCCAGAATGACCTATCTAATCTAAAAAAGATCGGATATATGCATAGCTGTAGGGGCTTCCCAGGTGGTGGTGCTAATGGTAAAGAACCCACCTGTCAATGCAGGAGACTTGAGACACTCAGGTTTGACCCCTGGGTTAGGAAGATCCCCCGGAAGAGTGCATGGCAACTCACTCCAGTATTCTTGCTTAGAGAATCCAATGGACACAGGAGCCTGGTGGGGCTACAGTTCATAGGCTCACAAAGAGTCAGACATGACTGAAGAGACTCAGCACACACGCGTATGTGTAACTGACTCACTATGCTGTATGGCAGAAACTAACAACACTGTAAATCAGCTATATTCTAATAAAAATTTAAAAAGAATTAAAAAAGAGAGATTATATACACAAGGGAGTATTACTCAGCCACAAAAAAGTGTGAAATAACGCCATCTGCAGCAACATGGATGGACCTAGAGACTATCATACTAAATGGAAGTAAACCAGAGAAAGACAACTATCATACGGTATCACTTACATATAGCATCCAATAAATGATACAAACAAACTTATTTCAAAACAGAAACAGGCTCACAGACAGAAAAGAAACTTAAGGGGAATGAGTGGGAGAAGGGATAAATTAAGATTTTGGCATTAGCAGATACAAATTGCTATGTATAAAATCAAACCAACTATGTTTCAATAAAAAAATTTTAAAACAGAAAATAAAGCATAATGGAAAAGAATCTGAAAAAGAACATATAGTATAGATGTGTATATATATAACACCACTGCTGAAACTAACACAACTCTGTAAATCAACTGTACTTGAATTAAAATTAAAAATTAAAAAATATTACTAACATTAGAGTTGTGACACTTCAATGACATAGCTGATTATTAATATATATTTTTCCATGCTGGTCTGTTGATGTATGCTGCACTAGTTCCATCAAGATTATCAGCATTAATATATTAAATAATAAACTAACACAAGATCTATGGACTCCACATCCAGAGACTGACTTCTCAGGGACAGCCAAAAAATCTGTTTTTAGAAGCTCAGTGTTTTTGATGTTCTGCTAAGTAAGAGAAATAGTAATGAACTAGGAATCCACCAGTGGTCACGAAACTTACACAAATAACATCTTCCTGTGCCTTGTTTTATCTTTAAAACTGTAATTCAACTAGATGAAAACTAAGATCCTTCCCTGGGTCAGAGATCAAGGTTTTCAAATTCCTTGATTACTGACTTGAGACAAGCTTAAACTACTTGAACACTGTAAACATTCAATAAATATTTGTTTAGTGATGAGGGACCCAAGTTATATTAGCTCTGAAAGTTTACAAAAGATTGAGATTGGGGTATTTCCCAGGGTTCAAAAAACGTCCGTTTTTTGTACAGTCCATCATAATGTGTATGTATGCTAAACTCCACGGGGTCTCAAAAGAGTTGGATACGACTGAGCGACTAAATACACACACCAACTCAAGATCTTTGTTGTTCAGTCGCTCAGTCGTGTCCAACTTTTTGCAACCCAATGGACTGCAGCATGCCAGATTTCCCTGTCTTTCACCATCTTTGCAGCTTGCTCAAACTCATGTCCATTTAGTCAGTGATGCCATCCAACCAGCTCGTCCTAAGTAAGTACAAATACCGTGCGAAGGACCCTGGGCACTAAACAACAGTCTTAGAGATGGGGGGGGGGGGTGTGTGTGTCAATAACTGCAGCCTTGCTGTGTGACTAAAATGAAACGAGCAAAACAGCCCAAAGTTGTGGTGCTGGGCAGCTCAGTTCCTCCGGCACTGAAGAATTAAGGTGAATTCTTTCGCGGTTTAGTGATGAGTGACCCTAGATAACTAGAGAACGCTGAGGTTAGTACGAAGTGCCTACTCTGCAGACAACCCCAAAGGGTTTAAAAATTGTGGGGATAAGATTCTGGAAACGACTCTCAATAAATTCAGTTGTCCAGCACACGCTGGTGACAGGCGCGCCCGCCCGTCAACCACTGTAGCTTCCCGTGATCACGTTCCTTTTGCTTGAAAGGCGATTGTCAAGTACTGTAAACCACAGCGTAAATAAAGCGCTGGTTGTTCAGTCGCTCAGTCGAGTCCGACTCTTTGCGACCCCATGGGCTGCAGCACGCCAGGCTTCCCTGTCCTTCACCCTCTCTCGGAGTTTGCTCCCCAGTACCGAAAACTAGAGCGAAAATAAAGCGGACCTGACAGGAAACGTGCGCTGTAGATTACCTGGGCTGGAGGACGGCACCCGAGTAACAGTCTAAGTTTGAACAAACCGCGAAAGGTGACGGGCCTCTCCGGGCACAAACTACAACACCTGCGAGGGGGCGGGGACGACCAGCCTCCCTCGATAAAGAATGGTTCAGAGAGACACCTGGCGGGGCTCGAGCGAAAGAGCCGGGCGGGAAGACAGGCCTTCGGAGGCTCGCGCTCCCGTTCTCGGCCCTCGCGCCTCCCGCCTCAACCCCTCGGGGCGAGGCTCGGCAGCAGGGTCGCCAGGCCCCGGAGCGGGCTGGAGGGAGGCGGCGGCACCCTCGCGTTCCTCTCGCCCAAGCCGGCACCAACCACCGGCACCACCTCCCCACAGAGCACACAGGCATCGGGCGACACGGTGCCTTTTCTCACCTCTCCGCAGGGCCGGCGAAAAACGGCCACAGGGGCTCGAAACCCGGCGGCCCCCGCCGCCTTCAGAACGCAAGAGTGGCCGAACCCAGCGGCCCCACATTTCACGGGTTTTCCAGCCGGAGGCAGCCGGGTGAGAAGACGGGGCGAATCGCGCTCAGGCTTTCGGGCAACGTAGTTCTGGCTCCAAGAGGATGCTGGGAAATGTAGTTTTCGGTCCGTAGCATGTCCACAAGGCTTCCCGACACAGGCTCGCACCGCGCGCGGTCTCGCGAAGTTGGGCCCCTCCACAGACTGACCCGGAGCTCACCAGCATGGTTTACAGCGGCTCCGCTTCTCTCACCGCCTCACCCCAACCCGTGCACGCCGTTACCGCCCTAAGAAGCGGAATCTTGTTTCAGAACCTCCCGGTGCCCGTTCCCTGGCAATGAGGTGTGCAGCTAAACGGCCGACTACCGCCAGAAAGCCAGCGGCCATCACCGGTTTGGGTTGGTGGACGACAGAGTCACGTCCAACCCCGCGGCAACCTGGGACTTGCAGACTTTGGCCGCTGAGCATGCCGGGAGTTGCGCAGAGAGCTTCTGGGAAGTGTAGTCCCCCCGAGGCTCTCGTTTCTCATTTCTTGCCGCTTCTCCCTCTAGTGTACGGGAGGACCCTATTTATTTGGTTTAGTTGCTGTCTTGAGGGAAATTGAATTTTCTCGTTTCTCGGGACGACCTGATTTATATATCACCATTTTATCTCTCTCAGACCTCAGTTACTCCAGAGTTTTCCCCACATGGTAAAATGTTGAAAGTAGCAGCACACAGTAGTTGTGGGGTCCAGATGCGGGGATGCCAGTTCTTTGGCCACCTCATGCGAAGAGTTGACTCGTTGGAAGAGACCCCGATGCTGGGAGGGATCGGGGGCAGGAGGAAAAGGGGACGACAGAGGATGAGATGGCTGGATGGCATCACCGACTCAACGGACATAAGTTTGAGTAAACTCCGGGAGTTGGTGATGGACAGGGAGGTGGCGTGCTGCGGTTCATGGGGTCGCAAAGAGTCGGACACGACTGAGCGACTGAACTGAACTGAACTGATTCTCTGTAAATTCTTTCATATTAGTTCAAACAATAAAGAACCTGCCTGCAATGAGGGAGACCTGGGTTCAGTTCCTGGGTGGGGAAGATCCCCTGGAGGAGGGCATGGTTGCCCACTCCAGGATTCTTGCCTGGAGAATCGCCATGGACAGAGGAGCCTGGTGGGCTGCAGTCCATGGGGTCGCAAAGGGTCGGACACGCCTGAGGGCCTAACACAACAAAGTGGTGAACAACCGCCAGGTTTTCGTGGCTTAATTATTCTTACAAGAATGTAAACTTTGCACTCAATTTTACCGATTTGTTTTCAGAGCTTTGCGTCAGCCGCATGACAAGCACCGTTCTAAGCACTGAGACACATTAGAAGAACAGGAGTCCCCTCGGGGTACAGCTGAAATGACGACAACATTGTTAACCGGCTATACCCCAGTGCAAAATAAAAAGTTTAAGGTAGTGGGGGAAGAAAGAAAAGAAAGAACACAATTCCTGACAGGGTTTTAACAGTGTATGGAGAGGAAATATAAATGATTATTTAAATATTGAAAAACAAAGAACAACCCCTCCTCAGAAAGTTTAATCTCACAGCTTAAAAAAAAAAAAAAAAAGGTATAACAGAAGGATATACCATTATTACCTGTTAAACATTTTCTAAAAAATAATGATCAGTTCTACCAAATAAACCATCAGATACAGTCGCTCAAGCTACTGGCAGGAGTTTATGTTAGTACAACATATTTGGAAAACAATGTAATAATATATATAAACTCTAAAAATTGAATAGCTAATTTCACTTCTAAGAATTTACTCTAAAAAAACTTACCTTGTAGTTAAGATTTTTTTAAAAAAGTTTTTATTATTATTTATTTATTTGGCTGCACAAGGGATATTTTAATTGCAGCATATGGGATCTAGTTCCCAGACCAGGGATTGAACCTGGGACCCTCCATTGGGAGTATAGTGTCTTAGCCACTGGGCTAGGGAAGTCCTTGTAGCTAAGATTTAAAAAAAAATTTAACTCTTGCAGTGTTATTTATAATAATGACAAATTAGAAATAATCTGGTGGCTCAGATGGTAAAGAATCCACCTGCAATGCCGGAGACCTGGGTTCGATCCCCAGGTTGGAAAGATCCCCTGGAGAAGGGCATGGCAATCCACTCCAGAATTCTTGCTTGGAGAATCCCCATGGACAGAGGAGCCTGGTGGGCTACAGGGGCTACAGTCTATGGGGTGGCAAAGAGTTGGACATGACTGAGTGACTCAGCACAGAACAGAAATAATTTAAATATTCAAAATGATTCAGTAACTTGCAGAAATATCCCTAATTGGAATATTATGCAATCATTGCTGCTACGTCGCTTCAGTCGTGTCTGACTCTGTGCGACCTCATAGATGGCAGCCTACCAGGCTCCCCCATCCCTGGGATTCTCCAGCCAAGAACACTGGAGTGGGTTGCCATTTCCTCCTCCAATGCATGAAAAGTGAAAAGTGAAAGTGAAGTCGCTCAGTCATGTCGGACTCTTAGCGACCCCATGGACTGCAGCCTACCAGGCTCCTCCATCCATGGGATTTTCCAGGCAAGAGTACTGGAGTGGGGTGCCATTGCTTTCTCTGATGCAATCATTAAAAAAACTTAGTGACAAGAAAATGTTTAATTTATATGCTTATATAACTATATCCCCAATATGATTTTAAGTCTGTTAAATGATATAAGTAAAGCCAACAGGTGTCATTAATAAAAATAACTTCAACTGCTCTTTAGGTGCTCTCAGTATACTGGAAGAAAAAGACAAGTTAGTGAGAACACAAAAGTTTTATTTACCTTAAATTCAATAATGATTATGAAAAAGTGAATCTCTTTAATATTAATACATATTATTATTTATATTACTATAAAATTCTCTCCCCAATGTACATACACAGTGTTGATGTTGGGCCAATCATATTCCTTTCTGTGGAATTAGCGATTGAATTCAGGGATTCTTGATCATCTTCTGAAGTTTGCTGGAACTATAGCAAGTGAATTTCAGAGCCCACACAGCCTCATTTTGCCAAAGAAGTACAGAGGCAGGAGCAGGGATAGCAGATGGAGTGAATCCAGGTGGTATTCAGCTAATAGATTTAGCCACTTCCTGAGTCCCTTGGACAGCAAGGAGATCCAACCAGTCCATCCTAAAGGAAATCAGGCCTGACTATTCAGTGGAAGGACTGATGCTGAAGCTGAAACTCCAATACTTTGACCACCTGGTGCGAAGAACTGACTCATTTGAAAAGACCCTGATGCTGGGAAAGATTGAAGGTGGGAGGAGAAAGGGACGAGAGAGGATGAGATGGTTGGATGGCATCACTGACTCGATGGATATGAGTTTGAGTAAACTCTGGGATTTGGTGATGGACAGGGAGGACTGGCATGCTGCAGTCCATGGGGTTGCAAAGAGTTGGACACGACTGAGCGACTGAACTGAACTGAGACCTGGGCAGCTCAGGTGGCACTAGTGGTAAAGAACCCAGCTGCAAACGCAGGAGATGTAAGAGACATGGTTTTGATCCCTGGGTTGGGAAGATCCCCTGGAGGAGGCCATAGCAACTCACTCCTCTGTTCTTGCCTGGAGATTCCCATGGACAGAGGAGCCTGGTGGGCTACAGTCCATGGGGTCGCAAAGAGCTGGACACTACTGAAGTGACTGAGCATGCACGTGAGACCTGCCTAACGCTCTTGTGTTCTCAAACTTCTCCACTGCTCCTATTATTTGTCTGCTGAAAGTCTTATTTGATAAAAAGTATTTTTCCATAAACGTGTTAATATTTTCTCATGTGTTAAGAGGTATAAAGGATCTAGTGCATATAAAATACGTAGCACAATATATGGTACATATAAATACTCGAGTTGCAGCTGTTTTTAGTACGAATGCCTGTTGATTTGGCTCAGCGTTGGGAGGCCGCTCTCCACCGCACCGGTCTGTCAAGATTCCGCACGGCTCCTACACAGAGGCCTTGTCTGTCTCTTGTTATGGGCTCTCTTTTTAAGGACGAGAGAACTTTGCAAAACAATATAACGAACAGTCTTGGGAAGTACAGTGTCTCCCTCTGGAGTGAAAGGCCTCAAATTTACTGTCTATTATAAAAGATTTGGGTTTTTCTAGCTCAAGGTTCCTCTCTGTAATGCAATCCACTGCACACTCAGGCACACACCGGGGCCTTTCTGCATCACGCCATGAGACTTGGGGCAAGGGGAACTGATGCAAATATGCAGATGCTCAAGTGGTTTGTTAGCCTCAGGTCTTCTGCTCGCATCCTGGCAACTGCGCAGGCTAACTTGTTATCTTGCAGATAGGTAAGATCTCAAACCCTTCATCATTCCTGATGACTCTGCCTTCGCTGAACTTTAAAACATTTTTCATTCTTTTAATTTTGCTCACAAAAATATCTGCCCACCTTGGTTTAAGTCTAGCTGTTGTGAGGAATGTAAAGAATGTAAAGAAACATAACTCAGTTCAACAATTATTTGAGTTCCTACTATATGCAAAGATTTCTACTCTTCCAGAACTTGTAATATAACCGGGAGAACAGAACAAGCGTGCTAATCACTTGCACACAAGGCAGTCATGGATCGTGAAAAAGTGAAAGTGTTCGTCCCTCAGTCGTGCCCAACTGTTTGCAACCCCATGGACTGTGTGTAACCCAACAGGCTCCTCTGTCCATGGAATTCTCTGGGCAAGAATATTGGAGTGAGTTGCCATTCTCTTCTCCAGGGGATCTTCCCGACCCAGGGATCGAACCCACGTTTGTCTCCTGCATTGCAGCAGATTCTTTACTGCCGGAGCAACCAGGGAAGTAGTGCCATTTAAATGGTACAGAAAACAGAAGACTTTGGTTCAGTTGAGGATGATACTTTTTGGTCATGGTTAGCAAGAGGAGTTACGATTTGAGCCCTGCTTTTAAAGGTATTAGTAGGTAGAGGTTGTTGGGACGAGGTCTGGGAGAGAGCATGGGAATAAGCAAGGACATTTAATTAGTCTCCCCACTC